TATCTCCTTGGCCTTGTTTGTGGACCAAACTTCGCTCCTCCTTGTTCGGGTTGTGCAAGCTCATTTCATATCTTTCAAAAATTTAACAAGATCCGTCTTAATATATATCACGGAGTATTAGATATTAATTAGTTGTTAAAATAGTATTACGTGATTTCTAAAGCCCCAATTGTACGTTACACGAATTATATAAAGGAAACTCCCTCAAATAATATATATACTACCTCCGGTCCAAATTACTCACAAATTTAGAATATTTTATATCTCACAAATAATACCCCAAATTTTCAAGTAATTTGGACTGGAAGTAGTATAAAGAAAAAACTATGTAGCAGACATGTTAACGTTGAATTTGAATTCAACGTGAATTGTAAAGGGAAAAAGACCAACATTTTCCTCAACTTGTAAGGGTAATTTTTGTAAACAAACAAGATCTTAAGGCTATTATAATGATATTACGTCACTAATATAATGCATGTACCCATTATGCCATAATATACTTATTGGTCAATTTGTGCTTGTTTTTAAAATGATTTGAGAGATGAACTATATTACTTTGTAGTTTGTACAACGTAGTAGACTAGTATCTTTTACTCGGTCATATACATACATCAATCAAAACCAAATTTTGATGTATTTAATATACTTTACCCTTTGTAGTTTGTACAAAGTAGTAGACTACTAGTATCTTTTACTCGGTCATATACTCATATACATGCGTCATATCTCCCCTTTTTCAATCATCAACAATCTTGATCATAAAATAATTATCTTCTCCCTCTTTAGCCTAAACACTAGCCTCCCTATTCTTCCATAATACTTCCCCTAAGCACTCCAAGGAGTCCATACAATACCCGAAATTCTATATTTAAACCAAGGCGTGAGAGTTATAATTAACCGAGGGTTTGGACCAAATTAACTCTACTTTTATTTATTTTGATTTTTTCAATTTGATTTATATTTTTATTGAAGTTACTAACAGTTTATTCATGATGTATCAATTTAAAGGAACACGCGGTATGTGAGTAATTAACTAATTTAATTACTCTTATTTTATTTTATATTGCTAGTATCATGATTAGGTTATTTTATATTTGATTTGACTAATGATATTATTGTTGAATTGCTTCTAATATTAATGTGTGTTCTATTATTTTTTATGATCACCATATTACATGTTTAAAGGGAATATGTAATTGAAAATCACGCTAATAAGATAATTTGGACGACCGGTTTATGTTCCTTTTTAATCTTGTTATTTAATCAAGTGATAAAAAATATTTTAGAATTATATGTTGCATTAATATTAAAAGTACTACATACTTCTATCAGTGTTCATTATATTTACTACTAGGTTAGGTGATTAGGTCCCATGTTATGTAAGGCAGTTTTTATTTTATTAATGAAAGATTTTTTATTTTTTTTAAATAGCATGGATTAAATAAAACTATAACATACTTTATATTTATTTTCTTCTTAATTAATTTGCACATACACTGCGTTCTATTCACCTGATTTTTACTTATCTGGACTTAACTGCACTGATCTAGTCTTATCTGAAATTATCTGAACTTATTAACCCTTATTAGAACTTATTTTAGTTATAATTTAAACTTAGGTAGCCCTGATTAACCCTTATCACAACTTATCTGAATTTATTATCTGAACTTATTTTCCTAAACATATTTGAACTTATTAACTCTTATCTAAACGTATCAATTTTGAAATAAGTAGAAATAAAATGAACAGAACAGGGCCTAAATTAAACATGAAATATAACAAATGAATTGATTAAACCCGGAATATATAAAACTACATCTTTAGACCGTATGAGTGTTTGTTTAAAAAATTCAATGATAAATGTAGAGAATAAATGTTTTAGTCAAATAAGTATTTTAAAAATTATGTATTACACGATTAACACCAGGCCAGTGGTTAATAATAAATCTCGTTTTAATGATAGTTGGTCAATTTTTTTCCTAATAAAATATAATAATATGAAATTATTGGATATTAAAATTAAAAAAGGATGAAATTTAATTAATCAAATTGTCTAACTTCGTAGATGATTTTATGCATACATACATACATAGATTAGGATTTGCAATGTTAAGGTATGTTCATTGTTATACACTATATGATTTCTTATATTCTTCGTGTTAGAATTAGGCAAGAAACCAACTATAACATTAAAAAAAAAAAATAAAAAAAAAAAATAAAAAAAAATCCCATATTATAATAAATAAAAAAAGATGACTAATCAAAAAATTGAGAAGAAAAAAATTACATCGAAACTTAAATTATTGTGCAGTATTATACTTTGTGGAAAATATAAATAAGTAATACGAAGTACATAAATATCTCAAAATTAAAAACAAAATAAAATAAAGTTATTTTTCTCCAATTCCTTTTGCATGCCTCAGGTTTACAATAATTTTATTGTACATCGAAAATTTTTGCAAAAAGTGACCATTTTTTCTTACAAAAGTGATCCTTTTTTTTTTTTTTTACAGAGTGACCCAAATGTTTACAAAAGTGACTTTTTTCACAAAAATGATTTTTTTTCCACAAAAGTGACCCTTTTTCACAAAAATAACCCCTTTTTCACAAAATGATCATTATTTTACAAAAGTGACCCTTTTTTCACAAAAAATCCTTTTTTTCACAAAAATAATTAAGTTATAAATGCAAAATAGAGTATCAAAATCATTAAAATTGAAGAAACCCAGCAAAATTAGAACAATTCCTCCATTTTTACGAACAAACCAACTCACCCACAAAAATTGAACCACTGCCATTTTCGAAGAAGCCCATTCAAACTTGTTCGAGCATCGCCCATTAGGCCGCCTCCAACACTGCGTGTCTACGTTTCGAAGTGTAATTATTGTTATTGTTGCTAGTGACTGTACTTTTGGAGCTTGAGCGACAACCATGGCGGCACTTCCGACTGAGATAATCACAGAGATTCGCCATGGATGAGAGAGAGAGAGAAAGCTTGAATATCTCTAATGGAAGAAAGAGGAGAGAGAAAAACAAGAGAATTAATAATAACACAATAAACCTAAAAATCGAATATAGAAGAGTTTGAAGCTTAACCATAAAAAAAAGAGTTTGAATCTTAAAGGGATTTGTTAAACATCGCCCGCGTTTTTCTACATAAAGCCCACATTTTTTAAAAATGTTGACATTATTGCCCTTGTTTTAATTTTTACCGAAAATAAAATTTTTCACTCATAAAAAATGTGGAGCAGGACTGGATCGCCGAGTGAAACCGAAGAGCCCTCAACGTCGGGTAGATGCACCGGAGAGACGCCGTTGACGCCGGAAAAGGAGGTACGAAGCCATCTAAAACCACGAATTGGCGGCTGGCGTCCTGCCGGGACCTTTTTTTTTTTAATTTTTAAACACAAAATTAATAAAAAATACCTTCTCGCCGGAAAACCGCTGTCCACCCGCCGCCTGTGCCGCCACTTCCTTGCCGGGCCGCCTCGACATCGCTCGGAAAGTTTTTTAGAGAGAGAAAGTGGAAGTAGAGAATAGAGAGAAGAAATTGTGTTTTTTACTTTGAGGGCAAAAGTGACATTTCACTCTAATTTTGTGGGCTTTATGTGGAGATTCGCGGGCGATGTTTAGCAATTCAGATCTTAAAACCATAGGCAAAATGGAGAGAGAAAACAAGAGATAGAAAGTGAGGAGAGAGAAACTGAAAAAAAAAAAAAGAAAAAGAAGAAAATAGTGAAGAGGGCCCACGTGCTAGCCCAAATTAATTAGTTAACTTGCTTCATTTGTACACCGATATACAATAGAGCTATTGTAAATCGGATTTTTTTGAACATTTGTGATTTTTCTCCAAGAAATTATATGCTATTAGTAAGATGATTCCTAATAATAATTTGTATCCTACCAACCTATGAATATATAACTTAATAGATTCATCATTTTTTTAATATTGTTACAAAATTATCTTATTAAAAATATATTAATAATTTAAAAGAATAAAATATGGTGTAGTGTGCTATTTAAAGATAAAGTGTATATATGGTTCCTACAGCCGTGGGTACCTTGCATCGTACCGTCATTTCACAAAAAAAAAAAAATAATAAATAAAAAATTATACAAATAAAAAGAACATAAACCTGTAGTGAAAATAATATAATATTAAAAATAAAAAGAATATATTTGCACCAAAAAAAGAGTGAAAAGAACATATGTCCATGTTCTTTAATGGTTAGTGTAATGTACTTTAATTTTTGATATAATATTCATTGCTAATTGTAAAATGTTCTTTGAATTAAGTATTAAAATTATGGTGGATATATATAAATAATGTTCATTACATCATATTTTCATGTTCATTATTAATATTACAGATGTTCTTCAGGTAAAAAAAAATTAAAAAAAAATTAAAAATTAAAAAAAAAATTAAAAGAAAAACATGAAATTGGATGTTCTTTACAAAAACAACTATATATTTTTTTTACAAAATAGCTATATGTTATTTACAAAACGGCTACATGTTCTTTTCGCGTTTTTTTCTGTACCAAGCAAGGTATATGTTGTTGTACCTTAAAATTTTCAATAGTGCACAAAGTAATATTTATAAGATATAAAGTAATTTATATGTAAAATATATTATTACATATATGGAAAGCATGTGAATCAAAATTACCACAATTGAAAGATTTGGTGAATATATTTCAAGTATAAGTTATAGTAGGTGGCATTGGCCAAAAAAAAGTAAAAAAAAAAAAAAAAAAAAAAAAAAAAAAAAAAAAAGGGGAGTTTCGGGCGGAGGGAAAAAAAAAAGCACAAGGAAGCGGTAGTGTCATTCCTAGTGTCTATTTTAGTATGATATATGATTGTATACACCATAATTTATTTCCAACTACCTAGTTTTTTCTTTAGGAAAAGTATTCTAGAAGGAATTCAACGGTTTATTTTTTAATGCTTGCTATGATTCTAACAAACAAGGACGGACAGCCCTATCTTATGCAGCATACATGGGTTATCTTAAGCAGGTTCAAATTTTGCTCACGGTAGCTCCACATAGTGCATTCATAAACAATAAGGATAAATCCTTTCCTATTCACCAGGCAGTACTTGGGGGTCATATTAGTGTGATCAACTTACTGACTAGCTCAAGGTTCCTACTCAATGCAATAGGTCAAAATATGCTACATGTATCTGTACTCGCTGCTGATCTTACATCAATCACTAATATTCTCAACTCAATTGAAGTTGAGTCTTTGATCAATCAAAAAGACGAAGATGGTAACACTCCTTTGCAATTGGTTAAGAAACTAACTCTAGGAAGTGACCTAGACAAAAGTTTACTTTCAAGACTAAATTTTGTGTTAGAAAGAGCTGCAAGAGGCCTGAAGTCGATACCCATAGATGATTATCTTTATCAGCTCCTGTTACATGGGGACCTAAATCAACTTTGTCAAATCATTTCAGATAGAAGGTTTGAATTAAATGACCTAATATGCCCAGAAGATGGATGTAATGTTCTCCATGTTGCTGCGAGTATGGATCAACCCCTGCTGGTTGTTGATCTGCTTAGACGAAACTGCGACACACTCATGTATCTAGCCAACTACAAAGGTGACCTTCCATATCATTCGGCTGCAAAAGCATGCAACTTGCAGTCTCTCAAAACACTTCTTGAGTGGCCAAATATCTATGTGGATGCATGTAGAACCTTGAATGATAAAGGTAACACAACACTACATATCGCCGTTTTCAATAATCATCTGGAAATGGCTAAGTATCTATATAATAAATGTCCACAAGCAGCATATTGCTTGAACAAGGATAAAATTTGTCCTTTATTTCTAGCGATCAAGACTTGGGGTGAGAGTGCTCTTGTGGATAATATGATTAATGGATTAGAGGGTAATTGGCAGATTCAAACTGACTTGAATAAGGATGCAAAATCAATTGTCCATATGACAATGTTCACAAAGAGAAAAGGTAAGTTCTTAAGTTATGCAATTCAATATATTACACATCACTATCTCCATCAAATAATCGTCCTAAATATCTCCCTATAATAATTTCTGAAATGCCTTGAAGTAGAAAGAAACTATGCCCCTACACAAGCCACAACTAAAAACCACGTAAATCTGTGTATTCTTTGTAATTATTCTTCTTGCTAAGTCTTCTTGTATCAATTACAACGAAATAATTCTCAAGTTCTTTGTGTCACTATTACCTTACCTACTGTTTTGGGGTTTTCTGATGTCCTGCGGGAGAGCTACAATTCCGAGACTGGAACCGGACGCCTGTACCTGCAAAATAACGGAGACTCCTGAGAGCTCCGCCTCCAACGGTCAAGTTAGTACCTGATTAAGGAGTAATTAATACAGAAATTAAAGTAATAAGGTCTCTCTAGGTGAGAGTATTTAATGTAGGTAATCTGCCTTGCTAGCGAGATCAGCCGGTTATTAGTGTGTTCCGTAATGTTTCTCCTCCGTTCCGTTAATTATTCGGTCCCCCGATTAATGAGGATTAATCGAGTATTTATAGCCTTGGGAAGCGTGCAACTCTCTAGGTTTAAGGTAAACCTAGGGCCGATCGGGCTTCTAGACTGAAATGGGCCTTGATGGCCGGTTGTCCCATTTGGCATGGGTGGACACGTGGCGTGTCTTAAGTGGTCCGTGGAGGACGCGTGGCGGAACCTGGTTGGTCCACTTGTCAAACGGCGCTTGGTGGATAAAAATCCCCTAATCATTTGCCCCTCACAGGTGGCACGCGACTGGTCACGTGTCGCCTGTGACAGGTGTCGCACGGTGACAGGCGACGGCCCGTTACAGGTGTCACCTTGCAGACGGCCGGGAGACTCTCCCGCCCAAATTTGAATTCGGAAGCGACCCTTCGCCTTCTCATTTTGCCTATAAAAGGAAGTGCTGACTTCGGTCATTTTTACATTTGAGAATTTTTGCGAGAACATTCGGACCCCTGAACTTGATCTGACATTTTCGGACTTTTTCTGCCTACCGCCTGTTCTGACAAGCCGACTGACCCGAACTTTCAGGACTTCATCAACTGTCATCCGTTCAGGTAACTCAGTTCTCTTACTCTTAATTTCCTTTTTATTTTTTGAAATGGCACCATGGAAGCACACGACACGCCCTAAGTTAGTGATCAGCCGGTCACCGGGGACGGCTGAATCTAGGACTAGGAGTGCCGCCTGCCCTTTTCTGGACCCATCTTTGCCCTTTATACAGAGTCCGACTGAATCTGTGTCTATGCAGAACGTGATGGCCAGAACAAAAAAGACTGCTAGAATATCAAACTCAGACGGCTCCTCCCAAAGGGTACTCCTTAGCGAAACATCTGACCAGGCGCCAGATGTGGAACGAGGCGACTGTCAAGCTGACAGTTCTGAGAGAGGGACCAAGGTGTTCCCTTCTCATCTAACCGTGGACATGTCTAATTTACCTTCTGCTCCTTCTAAGGGAGAGGAGGCGGGCCCCTCTAGGAGAGGGGAGGAGTCGTCCTCTTCGGACTCGTCAGGGGACGAGTCCGATTCCAGCTCTTCTGACCATAGTTCTTCTGACCATAGTTCTTCTGACTCAGAAGAAAAACATAACCGCCTACAAGAGGCGAGAAGTTCCCATGCAGTGGAGAAGGGGGATAATTGGGCAGAGCCGTCCGCCTCTTACAGAGAGGAAAACACCCCCTACTACTGCAGGGTGCCCCGGGGCCGGATCGCAACCATGCGAGACAACGTGGCGAGCTTTATTGCTAACCACAAAATGAGCCCGGAGTATTTACTGTTTGTGCCGGATCCAGAAGATACTGTCGTCTGGCCGGCTGGTACCAGCTATGGTGACGGCTGTTTTGGCTGCTATGTGGCGGCCATCAAAGCTGGTCTGCGCTTCCCATTACATCCGGCTGTTCAGCGGATTTTAGATGGGTATGATCTGGGGTTATGGCAGTTAGCCCCCAACTCTTGGGTAAACGTACTCGGCTATGTGGCCGGGTGCGAACTGAACGGGGTGGAGCCAAGTTTTGAGGCTTTCGCCCACATGAACTATCTCAGCCGGACCCCTAAGTCGGGAGGTACCGGCTGGTATCAACTAACAAGCCACAGGGGTTACCTCATGACGAGAGGTAAGGCAAACAAATGGAAGGATTGGCGGAACACCTTCCTTATTATCGAGAGTTCAGACACGGAGCTGAACAAACGTTTTAACAAGTGGAACAGAGATCCGCCTCTTCTTGCAGGCGGCCGCAGCATGCCGCCTGTTCCCCCAAAGGCTAAAAGAGAGATCCTAGACAAAGGACTCTTCAAAGTAGAGACTAGGGTGAACTCTACTTCAGGGGTACGAGAGCAAGTACCCCTACACTGCGTCCCGAGCTTCAAGTGGCTCTATGATGAGTACTTCTTGGCCGCCTGTGGCCTCGGCAGTCGGTGCTCTAGAGGTAGCCGGCCTGACGAATACTCTGTTTTCTCACGCCTTGTTTACTTGGGATTTTTACTAACTTTGCTGTTTATTTCTTTCAGCCGACGCCATGAGTAAAATAACAGCATCTAAGACTGCGGCGGCCATGCTGCGGGTTTCGCTAATGAAGCAGTCGTACGCCGACTCCCCCAGCAAGGAGGCACCCTTGGTAAGCTTTAAAAACTCTTCCCCTTTAAGTTGTATTATGCATATACTAACTCTTTTTGTTTTCAGTCTGGCACTCCAAGGGCTTCTTCCTCGCAATAGCCGGACCCCAAGGCCCGGAGAACGACTGTTGCAAGCTCTCCTGGGTCTTCCAGGAAAACAGTGGCGGCTGAGAAGCAGCCGGCCACTTCTTCAAAAACCCAGGCGGGGCCGCCTAGATGTATGGACACTTGCTTGTAAAAACTCACTCTTGCTTCCTTCTTGATTAGGTCTAACTTGCTTTTCCTTCTGCTTAATGCAGCCGGCCCCCAGGGACTTGACTTGGTTGAGGTAGCCAAGTCAATGGTTAAAGTAGTTCCTCCCTCTGACAGGGAGGCGGTCAAGGGTGCCGGCACCCTTGACCTCGATGGAATTTCGGGGATCCTAGCTGAGGTATACCCTTTTGAAGTTCCAGGACGCCTGTTAACCCTTATGATTGGAAACTGACGCCTGTTTTTCTTTGTACTTAGGCCCTGCTCCGAGTCAACAGCCTTCGCAAGCCGATTGATCGGAAAAACAAAGAGGTAAAGGCCGCAAAGGCTATGGCCGCCTCCAGCTGTGATAAAGCAATGTTTCAAATTGCCCAAAATGAAGTACTGACCATTGATCTTCTTTATTATCAGGCGCAGGCGACCGCCGCTGTTCGGGCTCAGCTAGAGGCGGCCCAAAAGAAGGTTGACGAGCTGGAGGGGACCGTCACCAAACTTAAAGCCGAGCTGAAGCCCCTTCGTCAGAAAATGCACTCTTACGAAGCCATGGAGAAATCTTTGGCTAACGTAAAAGAACGCCTGGTGAACCAGGAGAAGAGTCTTACCCAAGAGCTCTCGGACAAGGCCGAGCAAGAGAAACAAGAGCTCGTCCGGGAGATGGTGGAAGACTCCGCCCAAATCCAACGCATGACCTGGGAACGACTGTTCCCCAGTGCCGACTTTGCCTCATGGGAAAGAACGTACCGCCAGTGTTCGGAAATATATAATCAACAGATCCTGGCGGCTGCTGAAGAAGAGGCGATGGACGTTGCGTTGGAGGAGGAAGAGCCGGTTGTGGCGCTTGTGCCACTTGGGGGTAAGGCATCAAAAGATGATGCAGCTAAGGCCGAGTCCAGCAAGAAGAGTGCTGACCAGGCGGCTGCTGCTGATACTGAACTGCCCCCTTCTTAAGCTTTAAGTATATTTTTTCTTTTCACGGCCTGCGTGCCGTTTGCTTTGTAATTACCCGGCCAGGGGGCCGGGGTTTTGAATATTCTGCTGGTCTTTTATGGCCGGCTCATTTTAATCAAATTTTTTGTTTTTGTTCAAATTTGTCTAAGTATTTGAAATTTGCTCACTAGACAGACTGTTGTGCATGGCCGAACGTTAAGACAGGTACAAATAGTAAGTATGCCGCCTATGCCCCTGGACGACTGGTTGTCTGTTTCCAGGATAGATGATCAGTCGGCCATTTAATCAATCGGTATTCGAACTCTTTATTCAATTTGACCAAGTAAATAGAATTACCAAGTAGCCAAGGAATTTAAGTAGGAAAACAAGCGGCGGGTACCGGTTGTTTCCCTTTATTGCCAATGTTGGCCTCTAATTTGTTATTTGTTAACCTAGCAAGAGTATTGGTTGAGAGCCTTTGTTTATTAAAAACAAGTGGACGACTCGTACCTTTTAGGCTCAGTACTAAGTTTGAGTGACTATTAAGTTAACATAGGAGTTACTTAGTCTTCGTCACAATCTTGATTGAGTAGTAAAGGTATCAGGCGGCGTAGGCCGGCTAGACCCCTTGATTTACCAATGTTTGTTGGCTATTTACTCAATAGGTTATCCAGTAGGAATAGGGGTTCGAGTGCCCTTGTTTGTATAAAACAGGCGGACGACTCAAACTTTTTAGGTTCCATACCAAATTTGAAGGAGTGACTATGAGTTAACTTTGGAGTTACTCAGTCGCCGTCACTTTTGTTTGAGAAGTAGAGGTACCAGGCGGCGTAGGCCGGCTAGACCCCTTGATTCGCCAATGTTTGTTGGCTATTAACTCAATAGGTACCCCCTGCATTTATCCCAAGTAATACAGGCGGTCATCTGACTCAGATGTCAACTGCTACCACTGGTTTGGTTAGTGATAGAGTTATCCTTGTCTCAAAAACGGCTACGTGGTTGCCCTTTGGGACAGTCGTATAGGTGCCGTGTAATTAGTTTATAGAACAATGTTCCACCCAAAAGGGAGCTGCTCTCTGCGACGAATTTCATCCGAATGGATGCCGCCGGACGCCTGCTATAATGTTGGGACAGGTCGGATTAGTTTTTAAAAGTTAGATCAGTTGACTAGGCGCCTGGT